AAGGCGGCCACCAAACTGTGTCTCTGTACTTGTCTGTGTTGGTCTTTCTCATCGCCGGTAGACGGACAAATAAAGGCCTGCTTTGCCCACTGAAGAGACAAACCATACCAACCCCACTCTCAACACACACACACACGCCGACTCCCCCACCTGGCAAATTTGGGTTGTTGTTGGTGTAGGTAATTGGCGCGACAGCGCAGCCAAGAGGTGAAGGCCTGGATGAGGCTTGGAGGGTGAAGGGCATTTCCCCTCTTCGCGTCTGCTGATGTCCCAACAGAAGACACAGCCAGACCGACCAGTCCAGTCCAGCCTAGTTGCCAACTCTCTGTCTCTAGGGTCGGTATTAGCGTGGCGCTCAGATTCGCCCACGCAAATCACCCCGGTTTCTGCCAATCTGGTAGGCAAGGTAGCCTACCATTGAAGCTCGGCTACCCACGCATGCATAGCTGACCGGGTAAATCTGCTGGCTTGACCACGCCAACCTGGCGATTGGCGTGGGCACACACACACACTGCGTTCTCGGACCAGGGCATCTGTGCACCGACACTTCTTCAGGTCGCCGTCTCGAAGCCGAAACCAGAGCGTCATAGAAACACGTGATGCTGAACGTCGAGTTTATGTCTTCAAAGTTTCGCTTATCAACTCAAATGTGAACTGTCTTTTTCCCTCATCCACGCGCCAGCCGGCCAGCCGACCGGCCGTTCTTCATGTGACCCTGAACTGTGTGCGCCCATGTTGCCTGTCGTCCTCACGCAATCGATCCAACCACGGTGAGTTCGTGTGGCACCGCCCCACCTCATCGGTGGTACCATCGAGTTGACATCGGCAGCATCGCTTCTTCGTCTGCACCCAGTTTCCGCCATCAAGCCGCCTTTACAACCGACCAGGCTTGCCGGCCGGCCGGCCGGCACATTGCCACAACATGTAACCACGCCGCTGGGCTGGTAGACTTTATGAGTTTATGTGAAAAGAGGAGGAAAAAGAGAGAAAACAACAAACAATAGACAAGAATGGGAGTGACGCTCTGTTTAAGTTGTGACCAAAAGCTCTCGGCTTCTCTGACTAGCAGCTCAGACCTCGGCGTCCGGGCCTGCCGACGACAGAAGCCTTTTGTCCGCGGTCATTCATGTTGTGATCATCTGACTTTCGCTCACTTTGAATCTGTTCCATAGCCGTGTGCCCGGTTTGATCGAATTTCCAGCATTGCTGAGGCTAAACTGTGCTCTTTGAAACCTGGCGCCATGGCATGTCCACAAACTTGACCGATTGTCTGCAGCAGTGGAAAGTCAGGCGAAGCCCGACGAAAAGGCCGAGTCAATTGTTCTAGTTTGGCGTCTGAAAAGTTTGAAAAGGATCGATTGAAGCGGATCGATTGGGCAGTCCTTTTCCCAGAGAAATCGTGACTTTTGCCGCATTATTAGTCGAAGAGATGTTGAGAGTCTCACCTTTTCCACTCGTCTGGTCAAGCAATTTTACTCTGCTCCAAAACCGATTTTCTGCCTCGTCTTGACTCGTGGAGAAGTAAGTTATTACCACAGAAATGCTCTCCATGTTATGCGAGTTTGCTGACAATCACCAGGTTTTCATCATTATTTTCCCTCCTTTTTCTGCCCCTTCTAGCAAAGCCTTGATGTAATAACCATACACTACTTGATCTTACACACTATCCTCGTTGGTGTAAACGTGTTTGTTGCATTTCTGTCCCTAGCAGAGCCTAATTTGGCGAGATAGTCCAAATCGTTAGGAAATCTGTGCTTTGATTCGACTCTGACTACTTTTTCCGGCTTCACCAACAAACATGGAGATATCCGTCACAGTAAACTATCTTCTCTCCCATCTTTACACCAAACTGCCTCGACGTCGAGTGGACAGCTTTGGTGAAGAGTTGGAACAACGCCTTCGCCTTAAATATCCATACCTCTGGCAACCGGATCGACTGAATTGTGACGCCCATCAGAAGTGTGTCAACTTCACTGGAGCACAACTGGAGCTCCTCTTTCCTGAAGTTGCCATGGCCAGTGGTCTAGAGTGGACCGAGATACAGGCCTGTCTGCCGTGTGGTCTGATGATCTCCATCGATCCTGGCCATGTGTCCTGTCAGTACACCTCAAGCGGCCAATTCGCCTGTGAAATGGCCAACACCACACTTTTCCTGTCGGCCACATCTACTGCCTCTGAGGCTGTGGCAAACTCAGCCACAGCTTCATCCAGTGCTCCCAACTCGGTCAACATGAACGCCTACACGTCGAATCATCGCAGTTGCGCTGGTGGACTTACTCCGGCATGGCAAATGATCGGCGGCCCTGAGAAGCCGGGACAGGGTCACTCGTCAGCCTCCTCTTCCGGATACTCTTCAGCATCTTCCGCCTCTTCGGCCTCTTCAGCCTCTTCGTCTTCGGCCTCTTCAGCCAGCATGAAGCCCAGTCTACAGCAAATCCGTCAGGTTCTCTACTCCGAGGGTGGGATCGCCGAGTCAGCCAGTCACTTGGCCGAGGGGACTGAAAGTGTCTGGCGTAGATGTTTCGAGGCTGAACAGGGCGACCACTTGGCGACGGCAACCGCTCTCAGCGTACTGGTCGACGCCGACGAGATCGGCCATCCGGAACCCAGTTATCTGGACCCATTCGACTGGCAGAGTGGAGATGGTGTCGCGAGTCCTGGCGTCCCTGTGGGACTGACGCGTGAACAGAAAATTCAACATGCTTGGTGCCTGCTTCAGGACACCTATTTTCCGCCTCTCGGCGACACACGAAGAAATTCAATGCTCATCGGAGACGATGGTTCGACAGGACAATCACCTCTTGTGCTTGACGAGGCTGGAGACTGTTTGTCGGCTAACCATAGTCTGGCCGAAGATTACGCAACCATGCGACCACTGATCGCAGACAAGACGTCCGTCGGGCCGACCAGGTCGGAGACGGTCCATTCAACAACTCCGGGCACAACTACAGGCTGGATGGAGGCCAAGTCGACCGTCTACCCAAATGATGGTATGACGACCAAATCGACCACTGTCGAGGCGTTTCGTACACCCCTCACCATCAACACGGCATTGTCTGGTCTGCTGATAGGCGGTCAGTTGTCTGGTCACCTCGCCAGTTCCCAGGCTCCTCCGATCACGACCATGTCGACAGTATCCGGGCTTTCCGTCACCCAAGGCAATGAGCTCAACTTTGCTACTCGCCTCCTCCGAGGTTCTGAGTTGCCCAGCAACCTTGGCACCAGCAGCTGCCTCTCACAGTCGACACATCCTAGCCTTGCCCAACCACTCCCACCCGGACTAGGGTCAGGAATGATGTCTCTTTATCCGCACAAGTCGACGTCCACGCCCAGCTTTACAGCGGCCGCGTTTGCACAGACAAAATTTGGCTCAACCAAACTGAAGACGCAATCGAAACGGCCCAATCGTCTTCTATCACCAACTGACTCGGGCGCATCGCTTCTTATGACTGGGCACACAAGTTTGTCTGCTGGACTTCCGATATTCTCCACTGAGTCGGGCGGTATCAAATCACCTCTGATTGAACGTGTAAGTTGACCTTATTAGACAGTAATGCTTTGGGACTAGTCGATAACATTACTTTCGTTTTGTTCGTTCCACTTTCATGTCAATTTACATAATCTGTATTAAGGACAAGATCAAGAAATCATCCGTACTTCTTGGCGGAGAACTCGGTTGTTCTAGGTCGCTTAAAGTATTGTAAAGCCTGATAGAGTGAATTTTTCCCACAATGATATTAATAAGCCTCTCGATTGCATTATCATTCTTGCTGAAGTGAGGCTTCGAGTCCGACATGGCCTCATCAATACGCCCTATCTGATGCGAAACTGGGTCGTCAGAATTGAGGACAGAAGTTTCCATTACGCCTCACATCTAATGTCGCCAGAGGGTCATAGGGCAGATGTGAATTTAAAGACAAGTTTGGTCTCTTAAAAATCACTTTTATAGCGGTAATGTTGCTTAGGCAGACAAGTGTTTACCAGTAGAAGCGGAGGACAGACACATGTTCGCCTTATCGACGCTTCCACTATAATAAGTGCTTCAGTCAGTCA